CATTGAATGCCATCGATGCATTCTCATAAGTTCATGCATGTGAAATGTCAAGGATTCGAGACGAATTAGGTGTTCTGTTCAAGACTTACCCACCTCATTAGGTCAAAGAGAGAATCCAGTTGTTTGAGTATAGAGAGTTGAATGACCTGACTCAACTCAGTGGTCACCCTTAGAAGATATAAATAGGAGACTAATCCAAGATGCATAATTATGAAATTTAAACTCAACAATAGTCTTGTATCTCACTTTCCTCCTTAAAATCTAACTTTAACATCGAAAGAGAATTGTCAGAAATACTCTGACATTTCTTCTAACCTTTTTTTGTAAATGACAAATCATTCGACCCGTAGATCCAAAGTCTTCCTCCGAGTGCAAGCCAGGCTCTTGTTATCTCAAACATTGTGCGAGCCATACACCAGGGTACACATGAGCTGATAAGAAAAAAGTTATAGCATTATTATCCAGAAAACAGACAACTAGTTCATTGTGATGTGAGTCCTTTGGATTAGTGACACCTAGTTTTGCAGAAAACAAACTCATTTTTGGGTTGTGCTTTTAACCCATTTTTTTTTGGTTCAATCATTGAAAGTTATTGGTCTACAAAAAATTAGAAAGTAACTACAATAAGTTTTTCATACGTGTCAAATGTGTCAAGTTAAACAGTTATGTATCGAATTAAATGGGTGATGAGTGAAAAATATATATATTACACGTTTAATAAATGAGTGAATAACTTCAATACGAACACAAACTGTTTAATAAACGAAAAACACGATATGATTTATTTAACTCGTTTAATTTTATTAAAATTTTAAATCACACCAAAAAATTATTCTATTAAAATTTTAAACTCTATTAATTACCCACAACATCTATACTCTATTAATTAAATTTTTTTCAATTGACTACCACTTACAAAAGCAAATGACAAGGTTGAATGACTAAATAAAAAGAGCTGCAGCCTTTTATAGATATGAGAAGTCTCTTTCGTTTAAATTTGTCGACGTGAGATTCAAGCCAAATATTTTCATTGTATTCACTGGGCAGACCCGAATATTTTCACTGTGCAGACCCAAGATGACTTTGTAACCTTAAGAATATCATAAACCACCCGAAACAATAACCCAATACACCTCGCAAATTTCCTCAATTGCTCAACCTTTGCCGCATCACCCCTGCCGAGCATAGCCCCCAGCACCACCGTAGTCTCCAGCAATGCGGCGGTCTTGTGTAGATGAATGAACTCTAGCTCTTCCATTCCTACAGTGGAGACCCCAGTTGAGGCTATATCCACCACTTGCCTAGCAACTAGCCCTTTAGTCCCTATAGATTTTGCCAATTCACCAACTGCCACAAGAATTCTCGTTAGAGAGACATCAGTTGAGGTGGTGACGATGAACTCAAATGAAAAGGCAAGCAACGAATCACCAACCAGTGTTGTTGGTGGTGGTCGTAAACTCTTGATTCTTTGTCAAAAACTCAAATGATTTTGATGAATGTCCCAAGCTCAGACCAAACTCCATCTCATCTGCAGAAGCCAAAAAAAAACAAGAAATGCCAGAGAAACAGAGAGCACGGGGGAGAGGTGGTTTCTCTCAAGTTTCAAATGTCTTTTCAATGTTTTTTTTTTTGAATTAAGATTTTTATTTACTCATTTACCATATATTTGCATATAATATTTTAATTTTGACAAAATNTTGAATTAAGATTTTTATTTACTCATTTACCATATATTTGCATATAATATTTTAATTGACTAAAATTTTTTAAATAATTATTAATTTTTTATTATATTAAATTTTTAAAGAGATGATAAACGGATTGACTGGTTTCATCCGAATACAACCCGTTTTTTAAACCTGTTTAGTTGGTCAATCAGTTTATCACCTAAATCCGTTAAGGTCTCATTCAAACACACTTAATTCGTATCGATTTGTATCGATTAATCATGTCGTGTCAGACTTTGACAGGNCGAATACAACCCGTTTTTTAAACCTGTTTAGTTGGTCAATCAGTTTATCACCTAAATTCGTTAAGGTCTCATTCAAACACACTTAATTCGTATCGATTTGTGTCGATTAATCATGTCGTGTCAGACTTTGACAGGTCTACCAAACCTTTTTTAAGAAATTGTTTATATATATCTATTTAATATTTCAATTACAAAGTTAAATTTTTAACTTATAAAAATATAACAATAGTTAAGATTGATTTAATTTTTATTTATTTTGATTTAATGATACAAAATTCATTTCCAATATTTTTTTTTCCATTCAAAAACATTATTTTCACTACACAACCCCAATTTTGCACAATCCCACTAATTTACATTTACACCCCTCCTCTTCTCTTGACTCTACCTCTTTTATATTGCTATTGTTTATTTAATTTTAAATTGCATGATTAAAGAGAAAAAATATAAATTTTAAATGCTGAACAATCAATGTTCAGACACAAGATTATTGTTTGCATGATTAAAGAGACAAAAAAATAAATTTTAAATGTTTGCACAATCAATGTTTGGTTTTTTGTATTGTAAGATGTTTTGAGACACGGGATTAGTAATAGTATATAGATAAGCAATGTAGCTAACATGAATTGCAATGCTACGATTAATTCCAAAATTTTAAAAAATGATTGGAGAAATAACTACACAATCAGGCAGCAATATCTAGTAAACAAGCCAACAACATCCAAAGCAAAGGGATGTAGTCTTCATTCAGAAGTTAGCAACCAAAGGCTCATGAATGTTGGAATGTGAGCTTCCTTCTCCAATCCTTGCAGCTTCGTTATCAGTTCCATCTATGTCTGCTCTTCCTTCCTCAACATGCTCTGATTTGCCAGACCAACCATACATCTTTCTTCTGGCTTCCCTACGAGCTCCCCTCTCAGCTAGTTTCAGTTCTTTAAATCCCTCTTCAAACTTGGCTTCATCCTCAGCCGAAAAGAAAACTACCTCCATGTCCCCAAGCTCTTCATACATCTTCTCAATCTTGGCTTTCCAGAAGAGGCCCATTTCTGTGTCCATCTTCTGGTATGGCGTCTTCAGTAGGTACTCATCAATCCCGCCTGCCTTGTCTATGCAACGAAGGGCATGAGTGGTTACTTTGACACGAATGTGACGGTCTAGGATGTAACTAAAAAGCCGTTTCTCTTGTACATTGGGCTTCCAGGTCCTCCTTGTTCTGTGAGCACACCATCACACCAGAGCTCTTGAGAATGGTATTCTCATTTTCTTTATTACTTGATGAATGATTACTGAAAGTTTAAATGCAAAAATAGACCAGAACAAAAAAACTTTAATCTGCAACAATTCAGTTCAACTATCACATATATTCCATACAAAAGATTAAGATCAGAGAAAGTTATTTTGCTAGGTACAGGGATCAAAGAGTCTGAATTCCGACAATATTGTATCCAATCCAACGACCACTTGGTTTCACTCCATAGTGCGTGCGTGAATCAACTATATCAACCACAACACATCATACATAACTCATTCCAAGTTTCTAAGGAGCACAACATTTCATTGTTTTCATTTTCTCTCCTCTTTTTCAGTTCCAATACTCTGCATACCCTAATATCCGATTTGTCTCCATGAAAGTCATTCGCCAATTAAAAACTCATTTCATTAATTATCGATAAGAAGCTCACATTGATACGAAAATATGGATATGAAGGCGGAAAACATAATTTGCAAATTTTCCAGCAGTGAACATGCTTTGCCAATTTGAAAGGCAACTGGCATCGTGATCATTTTGTTATTCTTGTAATGGATAATCGTCCCAACCAGTTGAAATCATGATATCAAATCTTGAATGCACGCAATCACCCACATGAAATCATTTAAATCTGAATTTTATACATCCGGTAGGACTTGAATGCAGGATGTGTGGGTTTATGCNATGAAATCATTTAAATCTGAATTTTATACATCCGGTAGGACTTGAATGCAGGATGTGGGTTTATGCCTCANAATCATGATATCAAATCTTGAATGCACGCAATCACCCACATGAAATCATTTAAATCTGAATTTTATACATCCGGTAGGACTTGAATGCAGGATGTGTGGGTTTATGCCTCACACATTGTTCGAACAATTCACCCAAGCAGCAAAAGATACAGAAATAGGCAGCAAAAAATACTGAAATAGGCAGCAAAAGAATCTACTCTAAAATCTAAATATAATCAAAGATGCCATGGATCATGCACGTGGAATCCTTGGAATTGGCAAGAGATGGCATAGCTACAAAATCCTCCGATACTTGAATCAGTAAGGCTTACTATCCACGAGTTTCACAGTAGTATTCATAATCCTATGCCAGTTATTTGATGCGCACCATATATAAACTGAACTTTGAATTAGCCAAACCATCACTTGACAAATATTCTAAGTTAAACATAGCAACAAACACCCGGTGGAACTTCAATATAGCACCTCATTCTCTAACGCAAAAAGCCCAAGCCCCACCAATTTAGGGAACTGGCGGGACTCTAGGTGACTCTTCAGCCCCTAGGTTGACACGTGGAATAATGAAGCCGTTGGGATGTCCAAAGGGCGCTAAGGAGGTAAGCCGAGGTATGGGGACACGGAGCAACCGAGTACGACAGCTGACATCGTATTTAATGCGATGTGGCCCCTCGTTTATGGCGGAATGAGTGATAGTGACAAGACAAATAAATGCGCACTTGCAAGCACCTGCACTCTGGGAGTCTAGGCCTACTGTCATGATGGCTAAACATTAAGATGACGCGATCGGCTCTCCTCGAGAAACTGTTCCCCCAAGTATTCAATGCTCAATTGATGTCAGATGCCGATATGGGGGATTTGGATAGGGGCATAAATGTTCGGCATTTAATAGGAAGAGACGTGAGTAGAAAACACTCATTGCACGAAGAATGGTGTGTCAGATGTAAAATGTCCAGATGAGACTGAAGATCTTTGGCAATCATTGTTAATTCAGGTATAAATACTCCTCAGAAAAACGGACAAAGGTACGCAAACTTGAACCAGAAAAAGATGGTCCATTGAGTTAAACCCTTGTTTCAAGTTCGCCAATTTGAAGATCGTTGTCTCAAACTATTACAGGTATTATCCCGTGCAGGAACATACCGAAAATTATAACTTTTAAATGTTAAGTTACATTTTGCGCTCAGATATCGAAAGTTACAATTTTCCAAAGTTAAAAGTTACAACTTTGAAAGGTCAACTCGGAGAAGTTAAGGTATTTGTGATCAATGACCTTCGATTTGAGCCGAACAATTGTAACTTTTCCTTCAAAGATATAATTTTACGATAAAAAATTATACCGAAGACTTTCCCCTCCAACTTATATCATATGCATATCAATCATAAGACTCGATCTTTCAAATTCATTCTGCCAATCACTAAAAAATCTACAAACCACCCGATTTGATTAGCAACAATTGCTACAAAACCCACAAAAACAAAAATCAAATACGCACGTACCATGTCCAAATACACAGAGAGAGAGAGAGAGAGAGAGTAGAGACAAAAATACTGACTTGTTGCCACCGTCTTCGCTGACGCGGTTGCCGAACTGGATGTGTCGGCCGGCGTAGAGGCCACGATGGGCCCTGCCCATGACGACTTTGCTGTCCGGTGTGCATTTCTGAATTGATTCTTTGACTCCGGGGGCTAAATTCTTCTCTCCCCCAATTTTCTTCATTATCTTCTTCATCATTTCCCGAGACCTGAACGCCATTCTCTGTTTCCTTAATACACTCACTCGATTCGCTGGCCGATTCTATCCAACTCAATGCAACGTTCAAAGTTCAAACCCTCCTCCCCAGCTCGTTTAGAAGAGTTAATCTGGATACAGAAATGGTGTTTGTTGGGCCGGCCCAATAGCAAGGCCTGTAAAGCCTGGATTTGGGCCCACATGTTTGGAAGGTTCCAAAATTTTAAAGTGTGAGACTATTCTCGCTCCTTACATATCTTTTCTCATCATATTTAATTATCTTACTAAAAACTACAAGTTTATCCCAACTATATCCATCACATTAATTACTAAATTCATCCTATTTATATTCACTAATTAAAAAATAAATTCATTCAATTTTATTTTAAAATATTTTATAGGTAATAATTAAAATTTTAAAGAAAAATTTGAGGCTCAGTCCACTTTTCAAGGCTTATTTAGACTTGAGTTTACTCAAAAACTTTGTTTAAGAATAAGTTCATTTCAATCTCTATTGTTCAAAAAATCCACAATAGTTATATTTAACTAAAATAAAATTAAAAACTAAAAACTCTTAAATTTTAGGAGTTTTACTAAAATTAAAATTCTCTTTCTCTATATATATGAGATAAAATAGTAATATTCAAATATAAAAAATAGTAACATTGAATATTAATCTTTGAAAAAAATAAAATAAAAAATAGTAACATTCAAAATTAACATTTCAAAAATAATAACATGCAATAACAACAGTAACATACTCACTTATGAAAAAAAGTAGTAACATGATCGATAAAAAAGTAATAACATGAAACATTGAACAAAATTGGGTATCAAAAAACATGGGCAGCTAATGATGCATTCAAAAAAAAAATAGTAACATTCAAAATAAAAATAAAAATAAAAATAGTAACATGAAGAAAAAAGGTATTGCAATAAAAATAACAATCTTAAAGTTTTAAGGCTATTTTGTGAATAAAATCACAAGTTCTACTGATCTATAACTCTATTTTTTTTAAAAAAAAAAAATTTAAGGTTGTATTACATGTTTTAAATATAGATTGTTTGATTGTGGTTATTAGTTTGATTATTTTAAATTATTTGATTCATTGATAATATAGCACTAATTATAATATGACATCTAGAATCATAATACAACCATTTGAAGACGAAAAATTAAAAGAATAAGAAGAAGAACAAGAAGAAAAGATATAAACTAGAGGGATCCCAAAAAAAGTCTCTTGATAAATTTATTACTAGTAATAATAAAAATGATAATACAAAATTTAGATGAAAGTATTGTATATGGACAAGTAGTGAATCCCAACGAGTTAAAAGATAATTAATTAACATGACAAAAAAATAAGAATGAAATAGAAGGGAATACAATTGAAAACGATAAAATAGAAAATAATCAAATAGAAAATAATTAAATAGAAGACAATCAAAAAAATTCAATTAAAAATACAAGAAAAGTTTTGGAATGTCCTATTGCTTCAAAAGAGTTGTCCTTTTCTTTTTGTTATTAGATTAAGAGTGGGGGTTAAAGTACCCAAAAAAAAAATAAAAAAAATTGAGACATCTTAATCGATCCCACAATTTTAGGATTCCAACAGTCTAATTTTTTTTAATAATTTTCCAACCATACCAAAAAGCAAATTAAATATTTTGTAGTATCCATTTAACGTATTTTCAGATTACAAACGTACTAAAAGTTCGACTACATTTAAGATAGATTTAAGACACATGATGCTATGTTTCTTTGTTTTTCTTGATTCTTAAAATCCCACTTAACCACCCTGTAATTATGAGAAAATATTCATTATAACGATGATATCACGTAGCAAAGTGATGTAATATTATCAATCAATAATATTAAAATAAATAAACAGATGGACCCCACAAAAATCAATAACTAACCTGTCAAATAAACAAACAATTCTCCCCTTCTGTCATGTAAGTTTGAGTGGGGTTTATCTTTTCCATTTATAATTTTATTATTGGTTGGTGATACCATGTCATCAATGGTGATATGAAATCACTGTTACATTTAATATTTACTCGTCAAACATGTACTCTCTCTTTCATGACAGTTGGATTACTTTAACATGTCACCTTTAAATTTTACTATTTTAAGTGTATGATCTTAATTTTACGATGAACTCTTCAGATCATAAAATTAAAATGAGCTTTTCAGCTCATAAAATTCGGATGAGCTCCTTAGCTCATAAAATTCAGATGGGCTCTTCAGCTCATAAACCGAGGGGCCATACATCGGCACATATGAAAGAACAAAAAATCAACACAACAAATCCTCTACTTATAAGCACATATAGAAAAACGAACATTTGGCAACAAATAAGAGGGATTTGCAAAATAGTTTGAAGAGGTCTGTCTTTAAGGGAACAAAGAAGAAAAGATGAAGGGTTCTACATTCTCCCAAGTCTCTCCTTCGGCTCTGCTATTTCCTTCTCCATTAAGGCGTTTGCATCTCAAAGATGTGCATTCTCTTCCTTTAGCTCATCTCTCTCCTTTTCTGCCTTTGAAAGTAGATTCATAAATTTCTGCCCAGCAAAAGAGAAAAGAACAGTTCCCAGCGAAGATGAAGGAGAAGAAGAGCCACCAAGGGAATCGCCCCTCCTGCGCTTCTTGGGAGAGGTACTAGCATCCTCGCCTTCATCGGACTCTAAAGGAGAAGGATCAGAGTCTGGAAAAGAAACAAAATTCATAGCAGCTCTCACAACATTGAATAGAAAAAGGTTGTCAGATGTCATCAGCTCAAGAAAAGATATAGGCTCAACATGGATTATCTGTTCGACTTTCATCGCCTCCACCAGATCCAGATTAGGGGCACCTGCAAAGCAAAACAAAATTTTTTCGATGAGGACATGCCATCATAAAGCCTAGCCAGCAAAGGCGATCAAGACACTTACATGTATAAGAATAGCTCCTCTAGGACCGAGGAACCATGCATTCTCTGTAATATAGCTCAGTAAACCTCCAAGAGTCCCCAAAAACAAAAAAGAAACGTTGAGCCTATCCCTTGGGAGGGGAAGGAAGATCAAGTACTAGACGTCGCAGTTTAAAGTGTCTCTACCTAAAACAACTAAAGCATGAGATCTCATCCTCTTCATGATAAAAAAAAGTAAAGAAACTTGGTTACTGTGAAAAACGCGTTATTGCCCTGTAAACGCCAAAAGAGGAAAAAGCTAATCATGGTGCCCCATCCCTGGGGGGAGAGGCGAGAAGGACACAAGCCACAGTGAGCCAGGATAAAACCAATAGAGGGGTGAATGGGAAGACGCAGGCCCATCTCCAAAACTCTTTCGAAGAAGCATGTCACCCCTGGAGGAAGATAGTTGCAAGGCTCATCAGGCGATGGAATTCGCAGGGATAGCTCCAAGTCAGAAGATGTCATCATTAAAGGGACTAAGTAGCGAGAATGCCACTTCCTTTTGATCCCAAAAGAAGTTCATTCGTTGAACAGAGAAAAGAGGGGGGCAACCATCAAAAACTCAGAAAAAAGAAAAAGCAAAGGGCGCAAAACCTTCAAAATTCAAAGGAAGACAACAAGAAAATCTAAGAAGTCATGGAAACCCCGTAAAGACAACGAATTTTAGGGAATCGAGGAACGCATGAAAGGCTAAGTCAGCGGACCCTTGGGTTTCCAAATTAAGGAGGCAATTAATTTTTTTTGGTAGTTAGTTGGGCACAAAAAACAAGGAACCCCCCAACTCTATCCTTACAGTTTCGTTAAGTCCTGGGAGCCTAGGTCGTATCAGAAAGACCTCTAAGCATAGTTACATGATCCCATGCTAGCTTGAGCTTAGCACAAAAAGCTATTGAAAGGCAATACCTATGTGAGTCATTGCGGTACTCAGAGCTCAATGGCTACCAGAGGAGATTCCAACTCTGCAGGAAGAGAACTCTATCCAGTAAACTTCTGGTCACTATGAGGAAGGTCAAGCCTGCCATCCAGTGACCCCTTCAAAGCACCAGGCAGCAGGAATGAGCTCTTCAGGGATAAAGCCTTTTTATAGCTCTTTATCTCTGTAGACCTCAAGAAGTTCTAGGCGAATCTACATCAAGAAGGACCAAACCCTCATGCGTAAGACCCCAGCTGGGCATATAATCAGCTTGCTAGCTATTCCCAAACTCGCTTGCTTTTAAGGAGATCTGAAGGACCCTTTGAAGCAAGAGGGCAAGGACAGATAAAGCAATGAGCACATCAACTCAGTAACAGGGGAAGTTTACTTCAAACATTCAAACATTGGACATTGCCATCAATATCTTGACCTCGGTATTACATTTCAAAACAGAAGTTATGGTCTTTACAAAAAAAAAAAAACTATAAGTTTGCATCAAGTCCTAAGATTTTGTAGGGGCTGGAGGAGAGGAATCCAACAGCTTAGCAGTTGGTATGGTAGGTAGCTCAACAAGAGAAGGCTCGGGCAGGTCTACAGTTGAAATTTCTAACGTAGAAGTGATTGGAAGATCATTAATTGAAGTTTCTGGGGGTTCAGGAGCAGAGACTGTTACTCCAGCTGTTGGCGAATTCGGGGCTAAAGCTCCAGAAACGAGGTCAGCAAAGAAGGGTCAACCCCAGGAGCAGTAGTAAGAGCAATAGGGAGATCAGCTACTATAGGAATGGAAGCAATATCAAGAGGGAGAGCTAGGGGCACCTCAGCCCCTTCAGAAACCATCTCAGAAGCTGAAGGGGATTTGGAGCAGGCCTTAGTGTTAGTTGCCCCAGCTTCTTCCTCAGCTGAGATCTCGAAGTCGAAACTTAGTTCTGGGTAGGTTTGCTCAATTTTGTCTTGAAAAATGAGCCATCCGATAGCCCATTGGGTAGTAACATCGTCTACTAGTTTGCAATCAGATCATCCTTCTTTAGAGCCGCAACCCTTTGCTCCTCGAGCTCATCCCGGATGGTATCGTTTACCTCTGTCAAGATATCATACTCTCTTTTCAACTTCCTCTAAGAACTTAAGGCCTCTAGAGCCTCTTGGTTGGCTTTAATCAAGTCGTCTGTTTTTTGCCTAAGCTCCTTTGTGGTTTCCCTGAGCTCCCCCTTAGTCTTTCTAAGCTCCTATTTGGAGCACTTTTCCTCGTCCTCAATCCTTTCTTTCTCTACCTCTAAGCCCATGTTAAAAGAGGTCTGCTTCTCCACCTGCACCTGCAAGTATTGGACTTGGGATCTAAGATCGCTGTTCTCAAAGGATAGCTCAGCGACCTTAAGCTCGAAAGCCTTGGAAACTCTGGCAGAGCTCTCTATGGCCTGGATCCTCTTTAGTAAGCCACTTACATGAAGGGCCATCTAAGAGTAAACACAACCCTAAACGCTAAAGCTAGTACAAGAAAAAGACGCAAGATAAAGGAGAAAGTTGAAAAGCCAAACACTTATAGAGGTAGTAGCAAACAAGGCAGTAGAAATAGAGGTCCTGAGGGGCATAGTAGCAGCTTGTTGGATGTCAGACTCAAGGAGAATGGAGGCGATGGTCTCTGTCGCTCGCTTCACATTATCAATTAAAGAGCTCTCACCTGCCCCAGCACCAGGGAGCTCTCCCTTCTCACTCTTGGAGACCTGGGGGAGTTGCGGAGAGGACCTCTTAGTTAGGCAAGGAGGGATGGACTCGGGAGAATGTAAGGGATCATCTCTAGAGCTCTCTCAACCTCGGCGGAAGAAGGAGAGGTTAGAGTCACACTTTGCTCAGGAGTCCCTCCAGAAAGTGGCAGCCTAGTTACTCGGAAGGGAGAGATCTATGCAACCTTCAGAGAACTTGAAAGAGTCAAGGAGGCCACTTGGGACAGCTGACGCGAATTGGGAGTCACCTTCATCCTTGGTACCTTGGCTAGGGAGGCTGATTCACTCCCAGAACCAACCACAACCTTGCGTTTATTCCCATTCCGAATTTTTTTTTTAACAAGGACACTTTGGTCATACGATCCTTCGTAGTGGGCTCCGTTGACGAAGAACTTGCAAACTCAAGGCAGACAGATCCTAAAAAGGGAAGTAAGAAGCAAGGAGCAAGGAGCCGAAGGCCCAAGAGTAGAGAAAGGGAGTCTTACTTGCCACCTCCTCGGCGCTAACAGCTGAAAGAGGAACAGGATTCTCAATCCTCACCTCAGGAGGGCTGAACCCAAGCGGTACAAGGACGTGAGCCTTGATGAGATCAGAATATTTCTCTGAATCACAATCTTTTAAGGATAGCAGAACTAGCTTGTCCTCGACACTAAGCTCAAACCAAATACCTGAAAATCAAAACAAGTGGAACAAAGTCAACAAAACAAGGCATCAAAATTGGACATAACCAGCTCAAGCGAGGACTTACCCAGGTTGTCAGGGGCAGACCAAGATTGAGAAACAGGAAGAGTGCTTGTCCTATCTTCAGGGTTGTTTTCCCACTAACTGCCCTATACAAAGAAAAAAAGTTTCTTCCAACCCTTATGAGAACTGGAGAGGTCTAAAATGATGACTTTGGCTTTCACCCGTTTGAAAATGTATAGAAAACCATCAGAAGGAGTATATTTGACATTGAAAAATTTCATGAGCAAGGGAGTGAAGGGAACCCCCAAACTCTACTTCTTAAAAAAGACGAGTTCCACCAGGACACCTCAGAAGTTAGGAGAAAGTTGAACAGGGCAGACATTAAAATGTTGCAAAACACTTTTGATGAAAGGGTGCATGGGAAAGCGGAGGTCGTTCTCAAAGGCGACCACAAAGAAGCAGACCTTCTTATGAACATGGGAGACATAGGAGGTGTATGCATATGGACGCCAACACTGAACACCCGAAGGAAAGCCAAAGCGAGTACTAAGGACCTTTATGAGAGAAGAAGAGACCTCACTGGAGCCCACGAGCTCTACAGTTCTAAAAGCAGCACCTATACCCTCAGCGTTGCCTGAGATTCCTACGTCGCTCACCTTAGCTTTACCTTTACTAGGATTTTTGGGCATAGGGGAGGTTGTTGAGGGGGGCTCATCAACATTTCCCTCAATATCAACGGAATCAGCACTAGAAAATCTATCAATCTCCTCTCCCACGTCACCAAAGTTAGAGTCATCTGCTTCGAGAGATCTGTCTTTTATAAGGGAAATGGACGAGCTTGTGGCTCCAGAAGAAGCCGACATAACTGGGCAAGAAAAAGGAAGCTTAAAGGATCTATAAATGGGAGGCACCTCTGAAAAAAACACTCCCTGATAATCATAGGGTTGACGCAACAACTTCCGATAACGAAGATCCTAGTCGTAGAGTAGGGATCCAAGAAGAGGGGAAGACAAGACAAGGAGAGACCATGATTCCTGAAGTAGTAGAACTGTAAGGTCCAAAAGAACAATAACCACCTCGGATTCGAGGGATCTAGAACGAAGAAACATGCAAGGAGCAAGAAACATACCTAGTCGCAAGCGAATGATAAGTTAGAAACCCAAAGCGAAAAGCAGAGAGCAAGCTTTGTAGGCCAATATAAGGAAAGGGGGCACTGAGCAGAACCCTAAGCTCACCGGAGAATCGGGTAGGTAGGGAAGAAAAGGAAAAAGCCTAGAGAGGGAGTTCGAGGGGTGAAATGAACCGTTTCCCATTAGCACAGAAGCATTTAAAGCTTTCGATACGTGGGCCTTGAAAGTAGTGAACGTGCACAAAAAACGGGAAAAGAAATGATTAGGTAAAATCATCAAAAAATTGTTCACGCGCATATCGAGGTCTCCAGAACGAAGGTCTACCCTAGCCCAACCTAAGTTCAGCTCTTGTCCAAACCTGCTTGAACTAAGAGCTAGGGGCAACTGATGATAGCCAGAATAAATTATAAGTTTGAGCTCAGACACAGAGGTCAATCATAAAGGTCAAGCAAACATCCTTAGCTCAGGGGACCAGACCTAGAGCTCCCTTCGAAGGGCCAACAAAGAGAACCCCCAAAATAGCAGGAAACTGCCGTCAAGGCGCAAAACTTTCAATTAGCCGAGATCTTCACTCAGAATCAAAGAAGGGCAAGGATCTCGATGCAGATCCCTTAGGAATAGGAATTAGACTATAAATACAGAATAGTGCCTCGATTGAAGGGCCGAGCAACCCTAATTGTATTGGAACACTACTGAAATTCGTTAAAGCAATCAATACAGATCTAAGGAGCAAGAGCCTCTATTAAAGAGTGGATTAGCCGAGCTCACAAGTTGGTAAACTACTATAATTTCATTGCGTAAATTAACCCAATTCCTTAAGGATTTGTCCACAATCCTCACGAGCTTTGTAGCTCAGTTTAACATCGAATTCCACTGTTCATACGTTCTGCTCATATAGATTCCAACTAACACATTACAGATTCTAGAAAATAGTCCATTGCCTTGCCAGGTAAATTGGTGGCTTGTCACCACAAAACAATTGAAACGAATGCATAAGATTTTACTCGAAAAAGCTCTCACATCAGCAGCTGGTGAATGTTTCACCAATATGTAAAACACCAACACAACTAAACTTTTATGGTTAATATCAATTTTAATCTCCAAAATATATCTTTTTATCAATTTGATCCTCATTATATTAATTTAATCCCTAAAATTTTAATTCATATCACTTTGATCCATAATCAATCAGTTCATTAAATTTTTTCACAAAAATAACCACTTGTAATTCTTTTAGAGAATAACACGTATTTAATATGTAATTATTTTATAAATCAAAAACTTAATAGTCTATCTATGTAAAAATCATTTAAACACATTAAACATTTTAATAATCAAATTGATACTTTAAATATGTAAAAATCATTTAAACACATTAAACATTTTAATAATCAAATTGATACTTTAAAAATCAAACTGACGCCTCCCAATCATGTTCTATTTTAACATTTCCGAAGCACAAAAAAAGACTTGGCAATAGAAGTAAACATTGCATTAAGATACTACTGTACAATACATGCCGGTGGTCAGGCCCATAGCTTGAGCCTAGCTATTCAAAATCACACATATAGGACCAACATGTTGAAACATATATTTTGCCAGGAGCTTGTTTTCAAGTTGAATTCTTAAAGAAGGGGTGATCAAGAGCTTGTCGAGCTGTAAGACGTTCCGATGGATCAAACTTTAGCAAACCGTAGAGCAAGTCAATCAAGGAGGATCTTGAGCTCTCTACTTGTTGTGGAATCAAGATCTACATTGGACAGACATAAAATATATTAATTACTAAATGGGGGAGGGAATTGAACCAAAGCAAGGAAAGGTGACAATCAAAGATGTCACAGATAAGGAACATTAAAACCTTCAAAGGGTCTAGTTTCTTCACTGCTCTGATACTCTCCCTTGAAACTGCTCCTTCAGGCCAATTCAATCGAGATTGCCTGAAGTACTTCTCAGTACCCTGGCTGCAGATGGATAATCAAAGCCAAAACATGCAACTTCATTTTAGGACAATATATAAGATATGTTAAGAGGAATGCTGCTTCACAAGACATCTCATTTTGCAACAATTCTCATGGAACAAGTTGGTGCACGTCTCTCCAGAAATTTTAGAGAAAAAACTTACTTGGTGCTTCGAATCATATGCTCTGGCAGTGGTCCCAATACTCTCTCCATCATTGCCAAATGCTCCAAGTTCTCGTGTGTCTGAAACAACATGTCACCCTGAAACAATATATGCAGGATAAGAACAAACATGATGCCTGGAGGAGGGAGGAGGGAGGAGGAGGAGGAGGAGGAGGAAGAAGAAGAAGATGAAAAAAGAGAAAGAAGAGCAGCACTAACTGAGCAAAGTTCAACAAGTATACAACCAACACTCCATAGATCACATGGAAAACTCCATCCTAGACCTGCAACAAGTAAGTATATGAAAGTAATGAGAAGCAGAGACAAAAAAAAAATGCATTTCAGAGCCCCATATAAATTAGTTTCTGATCAATCAGACAATTGATTGATCTCATTACCGCCACACCACATAAGTGTTTTAAAATGGAATATGAATGAAAGAAGCAGTCGATCTCATTTCAATATAAATGAAAAACAGAAGAATCAGATGTAGAATCACAGCGAATGAAACAGCAACAGGAAGAGGAAAACGGGGAAGCAAACTCATTCAAAATGGTTGAACCTGCATTGGAAGAGGCTGCAGCATAAATGGCACTCAGAAGTCTCCTTATCGATGTAACAACAGCATACACAAAGTGCACATCATTTTGGAAATCACAAATTGCCACTAGGTTTGTGTCAAGAAATTTCTGTCCAAGGTAACATTTAACTTTCACTCCAGTATTTCAACAAAAAACAATTAATTTCACGCGTTTCTCTAGGTTTATATTGGAAGTGCTTAACGTTGAATCATCTTTCTCCGCAACTAAAATGTCGATCAATCTTTTATAGGGAAATGACTTGAAATGAAGGAAACAATGACAAGTCCTTTTTGTAACGAAATTAACTATCAATCTGCTAAAAAGAGGAAAAGGCCAGTTACTGAAATATTGTACAGTTAACATGCACCACTCAACAGCAAATCCAGAGAAAGTAATTGCAACACTAGGATCAAATAAACTAATCACATAAAGTCAATTTGCATTCCAAACACAAAAAATATTTTCTTCACTCTAACCTTTGCTAGAAAGTGGTACAGCAGAGGCAACTATAAAAAGTCTGGTAACTATATGTTATACTACTCGAGTCTACAATTTACTTAACAATTACTATTATTAAGGTAACCCAGCACATGAGACTCCTCCCACCACTGGCTCTCCCCATTACATGCTCTAGGAAGGGTCAGATATGTGTAATCTTAACCTGCATGTGAAGAGACTGTTTTCGTGAAACCAATATAGACTACTAGTTGTTTTCATAGGCAACCTGTAGGGTCATCCATTTTCAAATCCCTGTATTTATTGTATGCTGAATTTTTCAGTCAATTACTTTTGGTTGTCAGACAAGGACACAACTCACGTGAACAAAAATAAACACAAGTAATGCATTTCATTTTTCCAACAGCAACTAGTTACCTAGAATAACCTCAGGTGCTCTGTAATGCCTTGTGGAAACAATGGAGCTATGATTCTGATTATCATATGCAGTACTACCAAAATCAATCAGCTTAATGGCACTTGACTTTGGCAAGCACCTGAAATGTGTTTCATCTGAAGCAATCCTCTGTACCATTCCAATAATTTACTTAATATAATAATAGAGCCTATACCCAGTTATAAAATGGTCTTCCAACTGTAGAAGGTCAAATACCTTGCAGACAGGAAGCTTTACAAACTCAGAAGACACAAGAAGTATATTTTCAGGCTTCAGGTCAGTGTGAATTAACCGTAAATCATGCATATCTGTTGGAAATGATAAATCATAAAAAAATGTTAAACAAGAAAGTTCACAATTATACATCTGCTGCTACACCCTGGACAAAAAGAACATGCCAAAAAACAAATCTGGGTAATTGATCAGAAAAGGAAACGAATACAGAAATCGAGATAATTCAAGGCCAAGATTAATCCACACACATGCTACAGATTCCAAAAGCTGACGTCCAAATTCCCGAACAAGATCCACAGGAAATGGGCCNTCGAGATAATTCAAGGCCAAGATTAATCCACACACATGCTACAGATTCCAAAAGCTGACGTCCAAATTCCCCAACAAGATCCACAGGAAATGGGCCGTATCTATTTCTCTTTAGAAAATCATATAAACTTGGTCCAAGCTTCTCAAACACCTGATAACACCATTGAAATGCATTCAAAGGAAGTTCTAAGTTTAGTTCCCATAGTTATAAATAGAATTCACATGGACAAATTGTTGCAACCACCATAATCAATATCAATAACTATTTGTGATCACAACAGCCATACATATTTCCACAAGCAAGGGTGTTATAGTCCTAGAGTGTGCTAAATGCTTAACTGTTTATGGCCAAGAAACTTTTAGGGCACCTATTTATAATATGCAAATTCTCAAGGACATGACATATAATTAGACAAGATGCGAGAAAGAACAGAAATAATATGCACACAATTCGAAAAAATTTACTTGGGATACTTACAATACATATATGATTGCGATAATCAAACCAAGTTCGAATCTGCACACAACTGCACAAAAAAAGGATGGAGAAGGTTGGAAAATGTCGTAACATAAACTAAAAATCCACTTCGAAATGAAAACGAATGGAGACATACTGTGACCCGCCTCTATCATTCTTAGCAATATGTTTAAGTACATCAACTTCAATCATTGCTGCATCACGGTATTTGCGAATGCTTCGAACAACTTTGACTGCCACATATTCTCGTGTTTGACGGTCCCAACATTCCAAAACTCGGCCAAATGTGCCTACAGCACTAGCAATTTGCTGATTTGATACAAGAAGAATGTCAAAAATATAAGATTTTGCAGACAGCAGGCACTTGACAGCTAACCTTCACCCATCTTGCCGAGTATTTTATCTGTAAACCACAGTGATTACAAAAAACAAAAGTCATATGTGGAATAAAAACACATCAATCAACAAAAAAGTGCACGACGATGTATCCAGTCATTTTAGTAGCTTCAACATTTGTCACTATTCCTTCTCTTTTCTTTCTTGAAATGTCGGTTAAAATCACCACTCAAGCCACTAAAACGAGTACCTAAACTTCATGACTTCATTGAGTTAATTTGTTCAAAGAAAGCCATTGTTTTGAATATCCATATAATGTAACACTCACGCACTTGCATCCAAGTTAAACATTCCATTTCATTCGTCTTGTCAAAAGGACAGACCAAGGAAAAAGGGTGCACACAAAAGGGTGTGGAAAAAAATTTGCATCCCAATCCATGTAATTCCTAGGAATTGCAAAGATTTCGAGGATAAACTATGCAAAATTGTGGATATTTGAAATGTAGCAATATCAACAAAAACCAGCAGAAAGAAAATAACAATTAAGATTTAGGAAAACCAAAATAAAATATGATATTGAATGAATATAACAAGCAAATACTTACATCTTGAGGTTAGATTCTCCCCGAGACTGAACACGTAATGACCCTCCTTATCATCGTTCCTCTTTGGCGGTGAGACATGACGACGCAACACAGGAGGCCGAACATCACCCTGAGCCTACAAAGACGCACCGAAGAACCATTCCCATCCATGTCAGATAAGAAAAAACGGCTAATTCCAAGATAAAATCGTAGATTTTTCACCCTCTTCCCTCATTCCCCAACGTTTTCCCTCTGGAAGGAAAACCCTAACTCTAATTCCAACACGTGGTCCGAAACCAAACCAACCTCTGGTCGATCGGAGGGCGCGACGTCCCAGGTAAGACGACGTCGTTTCCTTGTCTGTCCTCTCTCCTCCACCATCTCTTCTGTTTGAATCTCCACCATGCAAAACCTAATCGTCCTCTATGTTTACCAATATCTGATTCTCTGCAACCAAAAAAATCAATTCCAGACAGATGAGAGTAAAAATTAGGGTTTGTGAGGCACCGATTATGAGCAGAAGGCTTGAGATTGAGCGTCAACTATCCGTTTCTCTGCAATCAAACAGATCGATGAGAATCAAAAATGGGGGATTTCGAGGGAGCGAAGATGAGAAGAGGGCTTGTTGAGATAAGAGAGAAAAGATTAGGGTTCTTCAGTCCTTTTTGGCTTTATATACTGCGAATCTGTTACCGATGAATGGTTTATGACTTTACGGTGTACTGCGCGTACCATTGCAAGGCATGCTTTTCCGGATCCAACAAACCGATTCGGTATACTTGGACCCGGTATGGATGACGAGTACCGAGATTCACTCTATCAATAAAGTGTGTTTTAGATAGGGCTGTAACTTGGGTTGGACAATTCGAGTCCAACTCAAAAAAATTAGGACTTAAACAAAAATTTTTAATCTTTGGGTTGAACTTAGGTCAAAAAATTTTAACTTGAATTTAATTTGGGTTGACTCGAGTTAAGATCTCGTAAATCCGAGTTCAATTAATCCGAGTTCAACCCAAATCTGATAAATTAAAAAAAAAATTATATATATATAAAGTATTAGCACTGGTTTTTCATTTTTGTTCTATCGTTCTTTCAATCTCTCTCGTTAAAAATTTGGTTAAAGTTATTGGTTATTAATTTAGGTGAATATTATATAATATATGTATTAGGTTTAGAACAACAAACCTATTTTGAACTTTACCCGAATTAAACCCGTAAAGTAACCTGAATTCAACCCGAGTTCGCCCGAATTAAACTCAGACAGTGCTTGAGTTGAGTTCCTCAACCCGAGGTAGGGTTAAGGTTAAAATTAAAGTTAAAGATTATATACTTAAGGTTGAATTATAGTTGATTATCCAACCCGCCCAAGTTGCACCCCTAGTATTAAAGGAATAAATATTCAACGCATCAGTGATGAGTAATGATATGGTATCATTAATTAATAATAAAATTTCAAATAAATATGATAAATTCTACTTAAATTTATATGACAAAAGAGTGAAAAATTATTTACTTACATTACAGATTAACTATTAATTTTTGTGGAACTTATTTATTTATTTATTTTAGTATTATTAATTGGTGATACCAATTCACCTTACCATGTAATATCACTGTTGTAATAAATATTTTCTCGTATTTAAGAGGAGAACTTGGTGCGGTTGACGATTACCGGCATTAATAATGGGACAAAAATATATTAATTATCTTTAGAAAAATATTTTGAAAAACACACACAGACACATACTAATGACAGATAACTTGATTATTTATATAGAGAAATACATTGTTCATGACATTGATAATGAAATCATTATACAATGTTGTCAACTTTTGAAAAATCATGAAATCAATTGTAAATGACTTTATTACACATTTAATGATTATAATTGTAACTCGTCAATTGGCGAAGGAAAGCGCACAAAAATGGTATACACATCATTAGTCTTGAATCAATAGTGTTACTTGTTTTGAACTCAATTATATGACTTGATGAGACAATGTTGCTTGCTCTCTCACTTAGTTTGTACCTATTTACCATATTGCACCGTTCATGGCAATATGGTAGCTAGTTTTTTTTTTTGGTGCTTGTGAAAACAGGGTGGTCAGGGCCAAAATCTAAAAACTCCCATAACATTATCTTGAAATTCTCACTCGTGTTCGGTTTAAACTATAATTACAGATATAGGATGATCGAATCCGTTACCACAGCACCACTGAAAATAAGTTAAACATTCATTAGTATCTAGTTTATATAGACTATTACAAGCAAATTCGAACCCACGACTATCGAAGAAGGGCGAGACTTTCACCTTTTACCGAAGGTAACTAAACTACCACCTTGGTGGTTCAACATTATAGCTTTGCTTTAGAACCGAAGCAAAGAATTTGTGGACAGGGAAATGAGAGTTTCTTTCATAGAAAATTGTTTGATTCAGCTTGCAAGCAAATTTATCAATCAGACTTCAGGCTGCAGAAGGTTTATAATTAGTTGTTTTTTTTTATATAATGTTTTGCATAACATATTTCCAAAAAACAGTTAACTCTGCCTGTGTTAAATTCCCAAGTCTGAATTAAAGGAAAGTTACATTAAGTTGCTGACAACTGTAATAAAATTTTTGTCAAATTCAATATATTTTTCATCTGACGGAACATATGACCCTTGATAGAGCATAATGAAGAAATATGATTCACGTAACCGACCTAAATTGTTGAGATTAAGACTTTGTCGAGTTAATAATTTTAGAGAAAAAAAACAAAATTATGGATTGGAATAGAAAAACCCAAAAAAGAAAAAATAAAGGAGGAGAGGAGCCATTTTTACCCAACAAAGTTTAATATTTCTTGCCAAGTCTACATATGAACATCATCACTCAATTCATAAGAAAAGATCACCCACATTTCTCAACATCTGGCAAAATCAACCTTTCTAAAACAGAGTAAGACGGTTTATCGCTTATCTCTCGTGAGTCGTTACAATGATAATTCTCAACATCGATCCATGTACACCTCCTCATCCTTAAGAAATCTCCATGATGGATCAGCATAACGAGCTGAGAAAGACCTAGAGAGATAATCAGGCTCTGTGAAAATCGATCCTTCGTTGAAATTCTGCAGGTAAGTGTTTGGGTCATATGAAGCTCGAGGCATTGGGACAGAAGAACTGGAATTTTTCTTCTTCGCCCCTCTGTTCTTCCTCCAAAAAATTAGCCACCTTGGGTTCGATTCATACTCTCTCCAAAAGAATTTTTGGCCGAATCGGACGCTTTTGCTTCGAGATTTGTGCCAGTTTCTGATGTCCATTTGCAGCACAGGAGGAAAATTACTACACCTGAAGAAGCATTTGATCTGTGTAAGGATTGTGAGGAGGAATTTGTGAAGGGACTAAGCTTGGCTTTGTTTTATAGGCAGTTAGGCTTGGCCCAAATAGACAGAAGAAAATGTACCAAGATATCTTATCAAAAATTCTTTGAGGGAATATGCTATATTTAGCATTAAAATTAGTCTTATCCCAACAGATTTGAAGGCAAAAGATGGGGTAAATTAGTACATATTCAACCTATTCATAGTTGTGTGCTATTGTAATTTGTATAGTTGTGTGCTATTGTAATTCGTTTAGTAGTGGTTCGTAGTTTATATAAGTTAGATAAAATTAAATTATTATCATATACGGTCTATTTTCTATCAACCATTTTATTAAATAAGTTTGATCAATTGATTAGTTTTTGATTCGAACTAATTGAAATTTAAGTTATATTCAAAATATTTTCATATTAGTTTGTTAAGACTTGGCAATCATTGAAGCAACCAACGAAAATCCCACGATGATGCCACAATTTATATTTTTCTTTTGATTTAACGGTTAGGAGTGTTTGGACCAACTTACGCACATCTCGACTAATCTCCTTCCTGATCTGCTTAAAGATAGATCATCTGTGCTGAGAATAAAGTATTCATGAGAGATAAATCTCTCACGACCTGGTTCTAAGGAGTTGCAAACATTTGAATTCAGAACGTCTAAATTTACAGCTCATTCTTGTTACCGCTCGAACTATCTCTTGGATTACCATTTCAATTTTAACCCAGACATCATTGAGATGAAGTTGATCAAAATTGGCAAAATTTTCGACTGGGTAAAGGCTCAGCGGCTGAAGCCATCACAGCCGTTGAAAGTTCAAAGCAGAATAAAATAAAAGCGTCATAGCCCGCCGAAAGACTTGGTAGCTGCAGTGCTGGCTACTAGTGTATTTCATTAAGAAAGGAAAGTTCTAAAGAATAAACATATAAAATAAAAAGAGTATCAACAATAAACAAAAGATCAAAAGCAAAAGCANCCCGCCGAAAGACTTGGTAGCTGCAGTGCTGGCTACTAGTGTATTTCATTAAGAAAGAAAGTTCTAAAGAATAAACATATAAAATAAAAAGAGTATCAACAATAAACAAAAGATCAAAAGCAAAAGCTAATGATTTTAAGAGAAATGACATTTGAATTTAATTTATTGACCTAATTATTTTCGGATATTGGAAATGCTCTTTCCCCCAATCTACAATCCCAAAAAATTGTAGTCTAAATTCGTATGGAGAATGGAGGAGGAAATTTCTGTCGTTGCTGGTGCTTGCGACGACGCCTTTGGAGCCACGCCCGATTGTTGATCTTGCGCCTGTGGCAGCACAATGAGAGCCGTGTGAAAAACACACAGACCTACAAATTCAAACAAATCCAAATCCTAACTATAAACTCCACTATTGGTTGTGACCCGTTACCAATCAATAGTTAGTGACTACAATGTATTAGATCAATAAATAAAGACAATAAACTATAAACTCCACTATTGTGTGTTTTTTTTGGGGGTGGGAAAGAATGATTTGGGTGACGGGTTTAGTGGGTAGGTGTCGGCTTGTGGCCTTAATAATTGAACTTTAGTGTTGTTGACTATTATATCTTGTAGCTTTGTAGTTTTATAGGTAAATTTTGGATTAAAAGACATTATTTTTAAAGTCCATCCTAGGCATGGTTCAACATATCGGCCGATACCGATCCGAGTCGTATCTGTCTCGGGAGATAATATCGTTNGTAGTCTAAATTCGTATGGAGAATGGAGGAGGAAATTTCTGTCGTTGCTGGTGCTTGTGACGACGCCTTTGGAGCCACGCCCGATTGTTGATCTTGCACCTGTGGCAGCACAATGAGACCCGTGTGAAAAACACACATACCCACAAATTCAAACAAATCCAAATCCTAACGATAAACTCCACTATTGGTTGTGACCCGTTACCAATCAATAGTTAGTGACTATGATATATTAGATCAATAAATAAAGACAATAAACTATAAACTCCACTATTGTGTGTTTTTTTGGGGGTGGGAAAGAATGATTTGGGGGACGGGTTTAGTGGGTAGGTGTCGGCTTGTGGCCTTAATAATTCAACTTTAGTGTTGTTGACTATTATATCTTGTAGCTTTGTAGTTTTATAGGTAAATTTTGGATTAAAAGGCATTATTTTTAAAGTCCTTCCTAGGCATGGTTCAAAATATCGGCCGATACCGATCCGAGTCGTATCTGTCTCGGCACTTTCAGAGATAATATCGTAACACGATATGTATAAACTCCGCGACTCGCACAACTCAGCCGAGTCTCGCATAACTATGTCGAGTAGTCCGAGTTGCATCCGAGTCAATTCCGAGCCACTGACATATTATCACCAAATTGACCAATTTGGTTCCACGACATCGTGATATGTCCTGAATTTTTCATCATGTTCAACATTTTCTTCTAAATCATATCGTCCAATACCGCGCTGCAATACCGCGACCGATGTGTCTCAAAACTTTCTAAATTGATGGCCGATACCGCAACTTTGAACCATGTTCCTAGAAANTCCTGAATTTTTCATCATGTTCAACATTTTCTTCTAAATCATATCGTCCAATACCGCACAGCAATACAACGACCGATGTGTCTCAAAACTTTCTGAATTGATGACCGATACCGCAACTTTGAACCATGTTCCTAGAAATCAAATCAGATACCTTCTAATTTGGATTTAACTCAAACCAACCCCCCCCCCCCCCTTTTTTTTCCTTCAAATTGTAGACTTGTAACTGGTGTTTCAACCTAGTGGTAAAATGTACACTATTTTAAGGAATTATTATCAAGATTGTAATACTATTAACATCGCTTAAGAATGAAGAAAATTGAGAGGAATGTTTGTTATAAATTCAAATATAATTGTATGTCACGAGGTTCACGAATAGAGAATAAGATATTAGTTTGATTGGTGTACTATCACCTAAACATTTTCAGAAAATTCAATTTAAAAGAAATATATAGTTTATAAATCTTTTAACATTCTACTAAATGTTGAGGATAATAGTGTTATTAAAAAAAAAACTCAACATGTATGCATACCCCATGAACAAACCTTTTGAAAATATGAAAAGTTGCAGGCCATGACCCATCTAGGCCTATAGGGAGTTTGAGGGAATGTTAGACAAACAATCACTTTTTGTTTTTTTATATAGCTATGGACAATAGAGGTTGTAGGTTAATAATGCACCCAAAAAGTTGACTTTTCGATTTCAATAAGATAATCATTTTGCACTAGATTGATGCTTTCGCCGAATCCTGCTAAAAAAAAAATATAATAGTCTAATATTGTCTTCATAAAAAAATATTACAATATTCAATTATCGAGTACTTTCTCTCATCTACTTTCTATGTATATCTTATTTGACAATCCACAATCTCCTTTTAAAAAGTATATAAATGAAAAAAAAATCATCAAAAACCGATCAACTTGTTATCCCTAGAATATTCTCAAGTCGAAAGATCAACTTGTTATCTCTAGAATAAATTTACCCGTTGAGTGACGACCCTCATATTCCGCATATTCAGAACTCCAAGGTAGCTTACACTCTTTTTACAATTATGGATGGGTCATAAGATTGACTTTCTTTTTTCAAGGCTTAGAATTGTGTAAACCTATAACAATGAAATTTTTTAAAATAACTCAAATAAAACTCAAAAATTAGAATTCAAAATTCTTTGTAATCCTACGTTGAGGCCAAGATAAAAGGAATGGCCTGCAAAGTGCAGATAAAACCGGAGATGAAACTTTTGTTGAAACATCTTTTGACTTAGATCATACAAGTTTAATGTGTGATCATTTATTCAAGGAAAGAGCTTACTCTCCTAATGATTTGGCTTGGTTTTGCTTCTTTCCTGCACCTTTTTTTTTTTTTTAAATTTTTTTGGGGGAGGGGAAGAAAAAGAAAGAAGAAGACTTGAACCCTTGATCTCGAGAAGACAAAACCTTCGACTGGACCAAACTTACAATGAGATTTAAAACCCGTTGCTTCCTTGGCCGTGCATGACATGTATTAGCGTTATATNAGAAGACAAAACCTTCGACTGGACCAAACTTACAATGAGATTTAAAACCCGTTGCTTCCTTGGCCGTGCATGACATGTATTAGCGTTATATCATTCCTACAAGTGATATGAGCCATTGTCTCGCATGAAATTAAATACTAACTAATTCTCTTGACAAAGTCCATCACACTATCACAGTAGCTTGCTATTTGGGCTCTCGAACGTTGCCTTGCCTAGGTGCACCCCACCAAAATATGATTTATAGGATATTAAGGATAATCCATGCCTTAAAACACTGTATAATGTAAATGATTTTAAAAAATATGTTAATAGTATTGAATAAGACTATTTGAAACCGTCAAAAAGACTTATTAAAATTTGTCTTCTTTTATATTATAGATTTACTTACCTAATTTGAATATATTTGTAAATTTGAATATTTTTAGTATGAAANCTGTATAATGTAAATGATTTTAAAAAATATGTTAATAGTTATTGAATAAGACTATTTGAAACCGTCAGAAAGACTTATTAAAATTTGTCTTGTTTTATATTAGAGATTTACTTACCTAATTTGAATATATTTGTAAATTTGAATATTTTTAGTATGAAATTTAATACTTTCATCTCCAAGATAATTGACTTCCACAAATCTGCATTCGCAACCTCATTTAGCTATGTAGATATATTATAAAATCACCTCCATTTTTATTTTTTTTTTGACAAATCGAAGCGACAATTGTTTACCTTGTCAGGTGGAAAAAAAAAAAAATAAGAGACCTTANTGGCAACCTCATTTAGCTATGTAGATATATTATAAAATCACCTCCATTTTTTTTTTTTTTGACAAATCGAAGCGACAATTGTTTACCTTGTCAGGTGGAAAAAAAAAAATAAGAGACCTTAAGCATTTAAAGCATATTAACTTGGGAAATTCTAAATTAACCGAAAATAGGACAAACGGCACATCATTTTATGCATATTTTTGGTCCGATATTTTGATCAACCCAGATATTAAGGGTTGGCATTGAGTTGAACCGAGCCATGCTTGCCCGGGTAAACAGTAATCAGGTCGGACCAGCCCGTTCGAAGAAAGGAAAACCATGACTGATCTATTTTACCAGTTCTAATGGGCCTTCAACGAGATACTAATCGGTCTTAAAACAGGGTTTATTTTGTGTTGTTACCAAGTGAAGACATGTTGGCGAATTTCCTTCATGGCTCTATCGGTCAGGCTAATGGGCTGCCCATGAGGCTCCACATGATGGTGGGCCACCAGGCTCAAGACATAGAGGACATGGAAAGAACATCAGGACTCAAGACTGATCCCACAATCTTCACAATACCTTGTATTCAAACCAAGAAGGGGACTAAAGTCTGCTGCATCATCAACTAATTTTCCCCTCCTAACAAAGGCCTTCGAGGCCACGGATTGTGATGAAGGCATCTTATGGGATATAAGAGCATTCAAGAAGGAGCGAAAAAAGATTGCTGATGCTAAAATGCTAGAACACAGTGACAAGTGACAGACAACACACTAAAACCATATACCACACACAACTCATTAAGTCCATACTAAGTGACAACAAAAATTACCTGATAACTAAGCTTAGAGATCATCATGAACGACCACCGTTGGGGTTCTGTGATTGTGTGACTAGTNCTAAAACCATATACCACACACAACTCATTAAGTCCATACTAAGTGACAACAAAAATTACCTGATAACTGAGCTTAGAGATCATCATGAACGACCACCGTTGGGGTTCTGTGATTGTGTGACTAGTCTCAAACTTTTATAAGCATCCAAGCAAGAATGCGAGTAGTCTGACATAGCACGGAAGAGCTCAGGCAGCCGAATTTTGAGAGTGCCCAATGACTTCTCTCTCACCTGAACACAGTGCTTTTGGTGAGCTTCAATTTCCTCTTCTAACCTCTTCTTCAAGCTCTCCACCACAATCCGCCTCTCCAAAATGGGGTCTTTGGGATTAGCTTCTGCAACTCTATCGGGATCTGTTTCATCAAGTGGAGTTCTACGTTGAATGTACTTCTGATACCAATCCTCAAATGCCTGGCTCTTACGCAAGAACTCTTTCCTGGTTTCTTCACATTTTTCCTTCAGCTTCATTTCTTCCTCTTGATGAACAATGATGGTCTTTATCACAGCAGCAAAGGAGGAAGTTGCACTTTTGGCTAGCTCATCAGGAAGCTTCTGCAGATGGTCATGCCAGGAATGGAGGAGGGGTTGAATCAGGGGATTCTGGATTCTTGGCGGTGACGACACTTTCTCTTTCAAGCTGCTCTCAATGGGGACGAGATTTAACTTCAACCAGCTATTAAGGGCTTGGATGTATTGTTTCTGATTAGTCACAAGCTTCTCAAATTGCAAATGCCATTCTTGAACAACGTTCCAAAGCTGGACAGTGCGCTCATAGTGATGTTTGCTGGTTTCCTTGGGAGCTCCTGAAACATCAAGAGATTTGAGGTCTGTGACGATCTTCAGTTGGTTGTCGTGATGTATGCACATGGATTCCCACATCTTGGCCATTCTACAATTTAGATATTACATATTAATGGTCATAGAGTAATAGACTGAAAAAACAGATCAATAACCATGTTTTAAAATATGTTGTTGTTTCAATTACTGTACTGCTTTAGACACTAGTGCATTCATAAAGATAATCAGTTTGCCACAACCACTCAAAAGAAAGAAACCTACAAGTCGCGTAAGATCAGAAACTCAGATAAAATTACTAAGGTAACAAGGAACTACACATGCTTAACATGGAAGAACATCGGGAAAGGATGGATAACTGCAGTGGCATACTAGAAACATTAAGTTATGTAATAAAACAAAAGATGAGATCAATGAATGTTTCAATAGCACAAATAACTCCAAGGCAGAAAACTAGGAAAAATTAAAAATCTCAAGACGACTTTACAATTGACCAGCACATGGCTAAAGTTTGTTGCAGGATTTCAACAAAAGCAACTGCTATGGAAGCGTTTTTTGAGAAGTTATACACATGCACCCTTGCCCAAACCAAGACTTAAACCCAACAGAAAAGAGCAATACTGATTGGACCTAATTTGGGGACCAGATTAATGGACTTAATTTATTGCAACCATTAGATCAGATGTGAATCCCAGAGTCAGATGGGACCAACTTCCCACTCAACAACTGTGGTGAATTACGTTCCTAAACTAGGTATAAATAGCATTTTCCAACAGAAAATATCACTCAAGCTAAAATCTCAGCCAAACCCAACTCAATGCACCTAAGTCTTCCCCCAGCTACTTCTGCCAACCACTTAGTGTTACCTACATAAGTCTTGTTTTGCCACCACTCACAAGCTAATTGGTGACCACAAGAAAATTTCAAAATAGCTAGAGAGTCTCAATTGAATCATGCTCCTCCCGCTACAATTGGGAAGTCTGTTTCCTCATTGAAATACATTATGACAGGTCATAGGGATTAAAATCACTCAGATTTTTGTCTCCATGATGGCACTAATCACACACTTGGTCTCGGCAAACACAGACTAAAGAGGTTCTCAGAGACAAAATATCAAACACAAGGCAAGCACACGAGCTTACAGGTTTTTGTTGCTATCTTTTTACTTCTGAGGCAAGTACCAAAGAAATCCTACAAAGGTCTGTTATGGTGACTGCAGACCCTACCAAACAGTGTTATCAGAACCGGACTGGTGGATCAACCCGGTAAAACAGACCCTAAACCAACCCGGTTATGATATTAGATTGTTTGCATATTTGAACCGGTGTTGAACCGTTAAAACCGTCCGGTTTGTAAATAAATTGTCAAACCGGGCGGGGTTTTAACAAACTCGACAATAGATAGATAGATACTAATTATCACAGAGGTTAGAGGTCAAAATACTCCAAAATTCCGGCTTCTTTGATGACACTAAGTCANCGGACCCTAAACCAACCCGGTTATGATATTAGATTGTTTGCATATTTGAACCGGTGTTGAACAGTTAAAACCGTCCGGTTTGTAAATAAATTGTCAAACCAGGCGGGGTTTTAACAAACTCGACAGTAGATAGATAGATACTAATTATCAGAGAGGTTAGAGGTCAAAATACTCCAAAATTCCGGCTTCTTTGATGACACTAAGTCACGCACTTAGTCTCAGTCAGACATAATCAAGAGGTTCTCAGAGATAAAACATCAAACATAAGGAAAACACATGAGTTCACATGACAATGTCCCAAAATTTTAACTTTCTTGGCAAATATAAAAGGAATCCGATTAAGGGTTTGTTACAAAACATCTACCCTTTCCCTCTTGGGTGACTTGATACCCAAGCAATCTTTATAAGCTACAGTGGCAGTTACAATCCAACGACCTAGGCTATGCTATCACCAACTAGCCTTGGCCAACTAACGCTATGCAATTTACATCCCCAACTNTCCTTGGCAAATATAAAAGGAATCCGATAAAGGGTTTGTTACAAAACATCTACCCTTTCCCTCTTGGGTGACTCGATACCCAAGCAATCTTTATAAGCTACAGTGGCAGTTACAATCCAACGACCTAGGCTATGCTATCACCAACTAGCCTTGGCCAACTAACGCTATGCAATTTACATCCCCAACTGCTAGGAAGTGTTGGCACAATACATACCTTGCTACAATGGATTGGGTGGTTTTACAACAAACCACTAGGCCATTTAAACTAATAGAAAATGCCCTAACATTGCTGGAGTAGTTGTGTTCAATAACTGCCTCATGAGTTAGCTACCAACTGTCATTAACTACGTGCATAGTCATCCAATGTCATCCTCATCAGCGTGCAGCATCTGCTTTGTCTTTGACAACGTGCCTAGCCATGTCCAGCCCATAGATTAGTTTTCAAAGCACGTAAGATACCTTACTTAAGTCCACACAGACAACTTTGCTTTACTGTGCCCAATCATGCCCACAATGTATTGCCTCCCTCAATCATGCGTGGGGCTTCCACCATTGACAATTACCACCAATGCTCGGTCCCACATTTTGTTGGATCTTGGACTTACATGCCTTGCCTCATCCAGGGCAGGTTTCTTGGTGTTGTACCTTGTTTTTGTCTGTCAAGGCAAGTGTGTCAAATGGACATCTGGAAAGCTGAGAAATCATAATAAATATTTACAAAACTACGACTATTGCACATCACTTTGCATTTCTACACGATCAGCTTGCAGATTAGTCCATTGGTGCACTGTTCACCTTGCCAACCACCGACTGAAGTGTCTCCAACCACTTAAACACCAGAACCAACACTCAACCAAGTCTTTAGGACTCGTCATGTACATTGGGGTTGCTTAGCCAAGCACACCCCCACCTTGGCCTCAGTATGTATGGCATGGTCGTGCCAAACATCAAGGGGCTAGTAAATGGCCTATACATCAACCGTGATACACACCAAAAATTGAACTCCCCTGCAAAGGTTCAATTCCAAACTAAACAACTAATTCTTTTATCCAAACAATGGTGTTAAATCACCCCATATGAATTAGGCCCACCTTGCAGTTAAAACGTGTACAAGCTAGAACAACTTCAACCAATTTTCCATAATATAATAGGATAAACTCCATTTACTAAAAGTATGATAAGATCATACTTTGAATGAGTCAAGTGAATACACTACATTGACCATCTTACTTGGGGAACTAAGTTCTCTATCTGATAATGAGAATTGGACACAAAGAAAATGTTCTCACTCCTCTTCAGTGGAACCAAGGAACAAATAGGTAGATTGATCCAAATCCAAATCCTCTCGATTCCTTGAATACTTTTTTCTTCACTTTCACACAAGAGCATATAAGCTTCTAAATGAAATTAAAAGAAAAGGTATTGGAGGAAATCTCACAGCAAATGATCATTACCAGAGGAAAAATCACCAAACTCTAAACTAGCAAATAGGTAGGAGCAGATACCACTTAAGTTATCAGCTGGTGGTGAATTAGGTTGAATAGAAGTAGGAAACAAAATACATACTAAACACAAAACAATAATGACCCTGTGGTTTAGGAACAAATCCACAAGGGAGACTTGAATAAGCAATGGAAACAAAAGAAGTTTATTCCTGGTAAATTACACATACTGTATAAAGTTTCTGGAGGGGGGTTGTGTGTGTTAAAACCAAAATGTTGACATTAAGTACTGCTGAAAGTTTGCTAATACACAAGTTCATCCAACAGACAGAAGTACTATTTTATCAGGGAAGTTTGACTAAGGTCTCTTCATGACCTTTGAGAGACTTTACCAAACAAGCAGTATATAGTAAACTACTTAGGCAGCTGCCCATTATATTCACTTCATATGTTTTCAGGTTGAGGCAAGCAGAAAACCATGACATAACTCAACACAGCAATAGTAACCCAACAAGTTAATGGAGTCTTGCTGGAATGTTTGACACTACATAGAACTAATGCCATGAAGTTCTTGATGCTTAATGCAAGAGATAACTGAAGGCATAAACCATATAACAAACTTTTGGACAGAGAATGGCCACAAACAATTAAGATGAAAGGACATTTTTCTAGCAGTAAAACTTACCCATGAACCAGAGCAACAAGTTTTGGATACAATNAGAAACTTTTGGACAGAGAATGGCCACAAACAATTAAGATGAAAGGATATTTTTCTAGCAGTAAAACTTACCCATGAACCAGAGCAACAAGTTTTGGATACAATTGATCATCACGTATGTGATTTACTTCCGAGACCGTTGAATCCAAAGACTGCATGTCAACTATGTATCTTGTATGCAAATGACTAACCGCAGCTTTCGTCTTCTCTAACGACTCAGAACTAGCACTGCGTTTTTTCAGCTTGCTCAAAAGGGCAACCTTCCTCTGATACTCAAGCTTCATAAGCTCAGCAGCCTATCAGCACGAAGCAAATAAGAATAGAATTCCAAAAAAGATATAACCAAGATGAATTAAAATTCAGGTTTGCATACATCAACTTAGGGCATAGCAGACATATATGTAATGAAGGGAAGCGGCTAGGTCACAGCAATAAGGATGCTTATCGTGCACTAACACATGAGAAAATATAAGATTCAAAACTATGGAGGGCCCTATCTTAGTATTAACCACAATCACACCCCAAAAATAAATAAAAAGAGAATACTGAAACCAAATCAAATGACGCAATGCACCTTCACTTCCTCGTATAACTTTTTCTCCCATGCTAGTAACTTATCCAAAACAGTGGCATGTGTCTCATACTCTTCTGCATCAAAATCATCCTTCCCACCATCGCCATTGGGTATACCTCTAAATGATTTATTCCACGTAATAACTCGCATTACCCTTGCTGCATGGTCAATGTGTCCTGCAAGAAGTAAAGCATTGTAATTTGTTTTGAGATGAAATGGATTGTGTCTATCAAAGCAGTGGCAAGTTCCCATTATGACCAGTGGAGGAAAAACTCATCTATAAAACCTATTCTTTGTTAACACTATCCCACCAATGGATGAAATGAGCATATAACGCCATGTTAAAATTCATGTTCATATTGAGTCAATCAAGTTTTCCGCTACCTGTTAGCTACCCAACACAATTTTTCCCCTTTATTTGGAATTGGGACCGCTGTGCAAAAGAATAACAGACAGAACAGTGATCCTAACGGAACTCCGAACATGCACTGCTGGCAGTTCTCAAGCACTTCACTTTTGCATTCTCAAAAATAACCAAGGCACGTGATGAAACAGAATAAGTATATGTGTCTGTGCGCATCGTGCCCAACAGTTCCCAAATTGCTTCTTATTTTCACAAAAGAAGTGCTGGCCCATAATGTGTTGCTCAGGGAATTACGTGGAGGAAGAAGAAGGAATATTGCTGAATAGGACACTATGCCTCGCTATTGGATAAACTGTTATGCAGATGTATATACAGGGGGAGAGGAATTGTTCCACTAGTTTAGAAAAATACCATACTACAGACCTACCCATCTTCAAAAGGCCGCCAAACCTCCAAAATCATTTCACAAGCTCAACAATTGTTAGAAACAGATAAATAGAAGAACAAACTCTTCCACTTAAAAGTTATCCAATTTTAAATATCAACAAGGAAGGTGGGAAATACAAGATTCCAAACGCTAATTTGAGAAGGCCATGCCTTGCGCGGATGGGTGTACTACCTTCTCGAGAGACATGTATATCCTTTGGCATGATTAGCAAGAAGTATGGAACTTTGATTAGAAACAAATGAACAACAGATCCTAATCGCTAGTTCACATAATAGACCATAAGCTTTGCTAGAGAAATTAGGATGGTCTTTTATTTTGCATGGTTTCTTATTTCAGGGAAAGGTAATAAAATTGCAGAACTTTTAAAGCTACAATTTGTTTAGGTCCAAGTCAACACCAACAAATTGATCACAGATACTGTTGTGATAATTAAGCATGGTTCTCACACACTCGTATGAACTTGTAAGCCCATTTCATTTGTCTCTGTCTCTAGTCAAAGAAATACCAAAAAAAAGGCAACAATAGTAAGAAGGGCATCACAATTGTTCAAGAAGAATAATTTAAGAATTCCGAAAAGTCAGTAGATGTGCATTTAAGTACACATATTTGATTGTTTTGGAAGAAAGCAAATTTGTGCGGCAATAGAATATCTAGGCTGCTTCATATTATCACATCCTATCAATCATTTTGCTGAATCCATTGAATTGCACAATCCATCATTCTGACAGGAACCTAAGTCGCCTGTAAGGAATTCGAGGAATACAAATGGTATTCTTCACATTTGACAGAACAACAGTCATGTTTTCTAGTTAGGCAACTAGCTGCATAAAGTTGGGTATGTGACAGGTTGCCCAAATTGAATCCGCAAAAATTTTCCTGCAACTTCAGAAATTTCCCCATGGAATAGGAAAAGATTTTTAAAGACATTCAAACAATGTACTTGGAAGATCAGCAGAAACTCAAAACAACACATTTTAATCTAAACTAATTCAACAGATCCCCAAAAAGAAGAACCAATCACCTCGATTATCGGCGAAATTCGAGTGATAGTGCAACGTCGTTGCCTCAAGCATCTTCGAGACCTCTTGGGCACTCTCTGATGCCTTCAAGAAATGATCATCAACATCACCCAAAACCTTCAACAAATCCACACTAGACCCAAACTTAATAGCGTTATTCCCACCCTTTAGTCCCGGGGGCGCTGTATTCGAATGAATAAACTGTTTCTCTTGCTTCTCCACCGCCGGCGTCTCCTCCTCCTCCTCCGTGATAAACCCCTGCATCACCACCTTCTCCGGCGTCTTCGGCTCAACGCCACCATCATTTTCAACCACATTCTCAACTTCTTCCTCAATAATATCTTCAGCCTCGCTCAATGATGGTCCATGCATGTTCTCCACCATAAAGAAATAATCCCACGCCATCCCTTTCGACTCCGGCGGCGGCGGTGGGACCGGAGTTTGCAGCGGTGAATGCGGCGTCTCCGCCTCAATCTCCCGAGACACACTACGCCCTTTTCGCCTTTGCAAATCACCAGGAACTTCTTCAACTTCCTCGTCATCCTCAGCAATGGCAACACTGTTCATTTTCCGATTTACTTTGGAGACAGAGAACTCCGGCATGGTCAAGGAACGCTGAAGCGGCGTGACCGGAGAGAAGTTTGGCAAAGGCGGAGGCGGTGGTGGGAGTTGTGATTCCATCAAGGGGGGTGGCGGTGGCGGTTTCGGTGGCTGATCCGAAGAAGGGTCACCACCAATGCCACTGGGTCCCACCAGGTGGTGCCTTTCTTCGACCTCGCCATGGGCGTAGTCACTCAAGGCGGCGCCGGTGTTCTTGAGGGCCATGGCGTAGCCGGAATGCCCAGAAGCGAAAGCATTCCTAGCAGAAACAGCTTCTTTCATCAAGTTCCTCCTGTCTTTGCATCTTGAAACTGACTCTTCGTTATCAATCTTCGATTGAGCACATCCCATGATACGAATTTTTTTTGATTTTCTAGGGCTTCGATCAATGTGGGCTTTTCTGGGTTCGAACTTCAAACCTGTAAAATGCACACATATATATAGACCTATTTCTCTATATCTCACATGTATACATCTTATACATATGGAGAAAAAAAGGAATAGAGAGAGAGAGGGGGAGGGAGGAGGGTTTCAGAGAGAAGAAGACGAAGTGAAGAACACCATGATAGGATATAGTCAGAAAAAGAGAAACCGACAAGATTGTGCAGAGAGGTGAGTACAGGGAACAGAACAGAGAGGACACAGAGGGGTTGGGTACGCGCGGAAGTAGTGTTATANGGGAGGGAGGAGGGTTTCAGAGAGAAGAAGATGAAGTGAAGAACACCATGATAGGATATAGTCAGAAAAAGAGAAACCGACAAGATTGTGCAGAGAGGTGAGTACGGGGAACAGAACAGAGAGGACACAGAGGGGTTGGGTACGCGCGGAAGTAGTGTTATATCATACACATGCGATGTTCAAAATGAGAAGTTTAACGGTCACATTTTTCGAGGTGTAGACGACGTCGTTTTTGGTGTGATCCCAACACACGAAGTACATGAATGATGACGGTGTGAGTGTTGAGAGTAAATGTTGTACATCATTTATTGGTAGGATAAATTTCATTGACACCCCTTTATGTTTCTTACATTTTCATTTCACCCCCTACTATTTACACAATTAGACTGACCTCCCTTTTCAGTGTAATCACTTAAATGACCTTGACTGCTATCATAGGGTTATAATTTTGCACTCCCTTATTTTATTTTATTTTTTTTCTTATTAATCTAAAGACCTGGTTTATATTAATCTATTCTACTCAGTTTCTCACCACAGATTTCAACAGACACAAATCATGAGGAACCGGAAGGGATATAGAATCAAGAGCTTTNTATTAATCTAAAGACCTAGTTTATATTAATCTATTCTACTCAGTTTCTCACCACAGATTTCAACAGACACAAATCATGAGGAACCGGAAGGGATATAGAATCAAGAGNTTTTAATCTAAAGACCTGGTTTATATTAATCTATTCTACTCAGTTTCTCATCACAGATTTCAACAGACACAAATCATGAGGAACCGGAAGGGATATAGAATCAAGAGCTTTGTGTTTAAAGTTTTGAATCATTAATCCGTTTGGTAGTAAGAATGGAAAGTAAGAGAAATATATTTTTTATCCTTTAAGAATGAAATATAAGAAAGATACATTTTCCTTCTTTTGTGTTTAGTTGGATGGATGAAAAATAAAAATGACTATTTTTTATTTTTTGTGCTGACTAAGATTAGGGGTGACAATCGAGTCGAGTTGTATCGTGTCAGATTCGTGTTGAGTCATTATGAATGTGTCGAATATTAATCAAACTNTCTATCTTTCAAGAATGAAATATAAGAACGATACATTTTTCTTCTTTTGTGTTTAGTTGGATGGATGAAAAATAAAAATGACTATTTTTTATTTTTTGTGCTGACTAAGATTAGGGGTGACAATCGAGTCGAGTTGTATCGTGTCAGATTCGTGTTGAGTCATTATGAATTTGTGTCGAATATTAATCAAACTTAACTTAACTCATTTAACTAATTGTACTATGTCGNATGAATGTGTCGAATATTAATCAAACTTAACTTAACTCATTTAACTAATTGTACTATGTCGAGTTACGAGTTGGCCAGTTTATTTTCATATCGAGTTCGAGTCGTGTTATCGTGTTGAGTCGAAAATTTTCACCCTTAGTTAAGATAGATAGAAAAAAAAAATTTTAATTTAATTTTTTATTTTTTAAAAAATTTATTTTTGACTTTTTTTAAAATATATGTACATATTTTTTCATTGTATTTTTATATAAAATTAATGTATACATAAAGATATATAGACAAATAAGATTCATCTCAACACAAATAATTAAATTTTTATCAACTTTTTTTCCAATTTTGAAAGGATNATAGAAAAAATATTTTTTTAATTTAATTTTTTATTTTTTAAAAAATTTATTTTTAACTTTTTTTAAAATATATGTACATATTTTTTCATTGTATTTTTATATAAAATTAATATATACATAAGATATATAGACAAATAAGATGCATCTCAACACAAATAATTAAATTTTTATCAACTTTTTTTCCAATTTTGAAAGGATTGATTTAGGTGAGTTAGAAAGAAAGTTAATTCATCCACTTTTTCATCTTTCCTATTTTCTTTTATTACCAAACATGATGTTTTATTTATTCCTCCATCATTCCAACTTTTCATCCTCCCATTTTTTTTTATGGTACCAAACGAAGCATAAGTGCTGAAAAGCAAGATTTGAACTCANCCTTCCTATTTTTTTTTATTACCAAACATGATGTTTTATTTATTCCTCCATCATTCCAACTTTTCATCCTTCCATTTTTTTTTTTATGGTACCAAACGAAGCATAAGTGCTGAAAAGCAAGATTTGAACTCAAACTCTATCTTCTTTGTTCGATTGTGTTTGAAAAACAAAAAATGAGGTAAAATATATGTTGTTTAATGAAGGGTTAACAGTAGGTATGATGTTTGTATAGATTTTTGGGGTTCTTTACGACATTTATGTAGAAATCCAAACAATGTTTTCTAAGGTTTAATTTCGAACACTAAAGAAATGGCCAATGGTTCTATGATTTTTGAAATTTAATGTTATATGTTGATTGATTGCTTTGATCTAAGTTAGTTTGTGATATTTTACTTTTTTTTAAAAATTTAATGAAATTATTTGTACGGTCTTCATTCGATTTTCTTTCAGTGTGATTCAATGGAAGTTGTATGTCACTGAAAGTATTTCAAGTTTTTGTAAATAAAAATGTTTGATGCTATGTAATTGTTTTCCAATATATATATTTTTAAATTGAGGCTAAAATAGGAATTTTAAGTCAAAACTTTTGTTTACTTCATGACAAACTTTCGGTCTACTGCTTGAAGCGGTTTTTGTTACAATATGTCACATCTTAGAGTAGGTCCGTGTAATTATATAAACAATAGGGGGTGCAGTGAAAATATTAAAAATAATAAAATGTATGAGTGTAATTTACCGTTGTTAATATTGAAATTATCATTTTTTAATAATAAAATATTATATAAAAAAAAGGAATTTCAAACGTGAAAATAACTAAATTTAATGAATATGGGTAGATATTGATATAGTGAGATCCACATACATGATTCATATATTAGATTCACTTAATTCCTATAATATTTTTATTATTTGATAATAATATTATATGCCGATAATAATAGGATATCACTGCTGTTGAATTAAACTGAAAAATTGTCAAAAAATTATGTTGAATTAAATTTCATCTTTCAACTATTATTCTCGTCTCCCATTATCCATGAATTGTTATTTTTCACCTCTAATTGTGGTTATTAATTTTATATTTTTCCATTAAATTTAATATGGAATTGTCCACTTCCTCTTTATTCTTAAATAATGTGATTTTATTTTCATTCTCTCGAAAAATTAATGGCTCGCAGATACTTTTTTGTCCAATTCGTAATCAACACTTGAATTCAAGAAAATGTAAAACCAATTCAAGTATTCAATCTAATTTATCTGGTTTGTTTATAACTAAGAACTCGTAAATGGTTGAGGTAAAATCTACGTTTCTTTTTTAAGCAAACAAAAGATAGAACTTGTAGGATCGATGAATTTTTCAATATACGTGAATCTATATATCCTGAGCACGGATTTATCCATACAGTACAGTATTTGCATTTAAGGAAATGTATAACAGTTGCGATTTAAAAAACACTTATACAAGATTCTTCATTTCAAAGAAAAAAATTGAATGGCATTCTCTAAGAAGACTGACTAGGCCAAGTTTAAAATATACGACACCATTTGGTAACATTTTTTTAAAAGAACTCTTTTTTTAAAACATTTTTCCTTTTTTAAGCAAAAATAGGAATTTAATTATCTACTTCATTGAAATTAAACTTTTATTGTCCAATTCCACGATCATTAAAAAATCTGCAAACAGAGAGATAATAAATGGGTTTGTTTTTAAAAAAGAAAATTTGAATTTAGAACAAAATTCAAGACAAAATAGTAAATAGGGGCANCAACAAAATTGAATTAGAGATGCTGGACAGGGAAATTACAGGCAATACGTTAATGATTTTTATCCATGTCACAATATGCTGGGAATAGAAGATTTTGATCTATGAAAGAACTTACCAGAGAAGAATAGTCTGCCTATTTCGACTTGAGATTAGCCATAAGTTTCCTCAAATCCTGTCCTTGTTGCTAAAAAAAATAAAATAAACTGCTCAATATGATGAATGAAGTCCAAGGAAGTAGATCTAAAGAGAAAACTCCGATACAAATAGACATATGAGCATGTTAACCCATTCCAAACCTTGTGAAGGCTCTTCCACCAACTGTCAGATCTGGATTGTAGTAAGCACCATTCCATAGCCATTTCGTATTCAATTGTGTTAGGCTGAGAACAATGTGAAGTAGATACAGCTTCTTTCTGAACAATAAGGAACTCCAATCACATTCACGAGCTAGTAAAAGACTCAAGATGCCAGAATAAGCAAAGGTTGGATAAGTGTTTTTATACATTCCACCATAGTGAAAAGCGCACTTAGGCACGCACCTAGGCCCATGGCGAGCCAAGGCACACTTGAAGCACTTCAATGGGCGTAAGGCGAAGCGACTTGGCTAAGGAGCAATCAAGGCACACAAAGTGTGCGCAACGGTATTAAGCCTAAGGCGCTTGAGTAATGATCAAAATATCATCTTGAAACGGGCGAAACGTTTCCGTTTCCAAGGAGATTAAAACGAATCAGTGATGAAATCGAAATTCTGATACTTCAAGGTGTTCCATAATGTTTTGAAATATTTTTATATTTCAATATATTTGTACAATTATTCCGAAATATTTCAAAATATTTTGCACAAGAAAATTTTTTTCAATATATTTGCACAATTCTTTATTTATTTTTTATTTTTTTCATTATGTTTCCGAAACGGGTTGAAACGTTTCCGAAACACATCGAAATATTTTCATTTCTTAGATAACCGAAATAATGCACCAAAACAAAATTTTAATCTTGTCCATGAGGCATGGGCTTTTTCCCCCTCAATTTAGTGGTATGCTTTGGGCTTATTGTCTACTAAATTTATCCAAAACATTTGACATACATAACACCACCTTAGAATTCCAAATTTAACTGTTTAATTCTATCTTTAAACACCACATGTGAATTTCAGAGATCCACTCTAATCTAACTCGAACAATAAGTATCTTTTGGGCGAGACAAAATGGGCAAGCAATGATGGTCTAGCGTCCGAGCCAATTGGTCAGACGACGACTACTAAGACTGTTGATCTCTGTTTTTTCCTTTATTTTCATCATCCTCGCTCGCTTTCTGCATGACTCGGATCTCTCTTTCTCCAATTTTCTCTTTCCTTCTGTTTTTGTGAAACAAATAGGGAGCC